CCCCAAAACCCCAAAACCCCAAAACCCCTTAAGTAAAAATTCTGGCAATTTGAATTAAGATCTAACATTTTAAATTAAAACATTATAGACTATCAATTTTAAATGAAAAATACTCTTGGCACAGTGATTTTCTTGTAGATCAGATTCAATTTTATGCATTATTTCTTTCATCAGTTGCTCTTCTGTTTCTGGCAGAGTTAGAGTGTTCTCGTGACTAATTAAGCAAACTAGTGCCATCAACGTTATCGAGATCTCTTCCATTGCTGCGCCTTCTTCCTCCCTCTCCGCCATCTTTATTGCGACACAAACAGCAGTATATAAAAGCAGTGCTAAAGCATGCTGCAATAATGATCACAATACCAATTATTGCTTGATTATTGATGACAGGATCCTCTGGCAAGCATTTATTGTTCAAACAAGATGTGTTTTAGCACTCAGACTTATCATCACAATAGTCATTTTCCACTTTCCTGCCTTCACAGAGACTTGTAGATGAACAGAACCCAAATGAACAGCAACCTGAAGAGCAATCCTTATTTGCCTCGCACTTCTATACACAATATCTGAAATGATTGCATTTTCCATTCACACAGCATCTTGAAAGGCATTCAAAGTTATACTCACACATGTCTAGACTTTATTTTTGTCCATTGTAGCATACACTGCCTGGGACACATTTAGACTCGGAGCAGCAAAATGTAGAGACACCACATCCAGCATTTGAAGTGCAATAAGACCCTATATACACCTCCTAGCCCAATTCATTGGTATACTATCCCTCCTGTTCTATACATTAAAGATTAGCATTTATATTAATTGATACATTTATCATATTCAGTTGCAGCAAGAGTCATAGGTAACCCCAAAAATATGAAGTACAGAAGTTAGCGGAATGAAAACCCTTTCATTTCTAAAAACTTACAATCTTAATAAATTTAACTAATTAATTTTGATAAGTTGAATATTACTGCAAAGTATTTTTATACCTTTCAGCCCAATAATTAATTAATTAGCTTATATCATCATAATAATCAGAAATAAAATGAGACATGCTAACCGACGATCAAGTTAGGAGGACAAACCTAAAATATGGCTGGATAACTACGGTGCAGGGAACAATGCGAGTCCGCTTGAAGTGCATGTCTACTGGCATGAGATTATGAAGCTGGAAAAGAATTCTAAGAAGCATCACTATGAGTAAAATGAATTAAGGCATCGAGATTTGTATAACTCATACATTCCACCTAAAAATAATAACGATACTATGCTCAAAGATACAAGATTTACCTCAGACTTCGGAAAGATTCTAGTCACACCAACTAGCTAAACAGCAGGTTAGCTAAAGGATCTGTTGAAGTACAAGAACAAATTAAGAGATTATGAGTTCAAGGCTGATGAAGATGAGCTGAGATAAACAGGTAATATTCATCAGTATTACTCAAAGAAAGTCAGAGATCTGAGTAGAGACCCTACTAAGGCTAAAAATCTAGAGTAAACCTATCTCAATAAAACTGGCTTTGGATTTCATAAGCATAAACTATCAGGGTAAAATATCGGAAAAGTTAGCAAAAATGCTTAAGGAATAGCTATTACAGATAGACTGAATATTTCAGCAAATATAGATGGAAACGCTAGAATCAAAACAAGTTAAAAAGTGAGAGAACTTTAGAGAGAACTAGAAAGTAATAGAAATCTGAGGCAGCTTGCTGAAAGGCAGTTGTCTCAAATGAAAATATAGCAATTATGAAAGCAGTGATTATCTAACAATAAGTTTGAATATTTGAGAACTATCATTCCTCTAATGAGAGAGAATGTAAAAGGTAGAATATATAGATTAATTTTTATTTCCTTAAATATTCATAAACTTCAAGTAGAATAGATAAAAACTATCCTTCGTGGGGTTTTGGGGTTTTGGGG